GGTATACCTGCACAAATTAAAGCTGACAATGCTCCAGCATATGTCTCTGTTAAAATGAAACAGTTTTTTGCTTATTACAATATAAAGCATATTACAGGTATACCACATAATCCTACAGGTCAAGCAGTTATAGAAAGATCAAACAGAACTCTAAAGGATATGCTAAATAAACAGAAAGGGGTAACAAAACCCCCCACAAATAGACTGCATGATGCTCTATTAACTTTGAATTTTCTCAGTGCCAATGAGAAAGGAGCAACAGCTGCAGAGAGACATTGGATAATAGAAAAAAAACTACAGAATAAAATCAGCCTATTTACTTCAAGGATATGCTGACCTCAGAATGGAAACCAGGATATGTGTTACGTGGGGACGAGGTTTTGCTTTTGTTTCTACAGGAGAAGATAGCTGTGGATACCATCAAAATTGACAAAGGTTCGATTTGAACAAGAGAGACCTCTTAATTAGAGGAGGTGATAGTTCATCATCCAGCATGAACTCCAATTTAAACTAACTTACACTAATAACACATGCCTTTTCATTTAATCAGAGAATAACTTGCCAAAAGGGAACCTCCCCAAAATTAGTCTTGGGGAAAGGTTTTTGTTTTTGTCTTTTAGGAGAATGAAGGCTAAGGAATCTGAAGAACACTGGACAAATGAGACAACTGAAGAAAAGGGACAAATCATCTATCCCAGGAAACAGAGTAAAATGACCTATTGGTATATCATCTATAAAATTTTATAAGTCTTCCTAAATGTTTGTTTCTGCTCTTCTCTAAAGCCATTTAACTCTATCGTCTTCTTGTAGTCCCAGTTCAATTAAAATTTAAAGCTGACTATGGAGTTGGAGAATGGCTCTCTCCTCCTTCTTTAAACTCAAGCATATTGTTAAAAGGAAAAATGCAAACTCCCTGTATCATGCCAGAAGAAATGAGCCATCTTCTGTTATGGGACAGGAGAAAAACTGTGGAAAACTAAAAGCCATGAGGAAGATAGTTACATACCGTTGAAATGAACAAACTCCTATAACAAAAATCCAGTGAAAATACAAGCCAGAGATGGGAGAAAAATGCAGCCCAAGTAAATGCCACAGGTTCCTACCAAGATGACTTGGGCACTGCTTATATCCACAGGAAAAAATTCTCACAAAACAAAACCCTGGTACCATCAAGTACCGGTAAGAATATTCATTTCTGAGCTATCTGTACCAACTGTACCTCAGTAGGGAAAAGGCTGTTCTTGTAATATTTTCTTTTAAAAATCTGGTTTATATAATGGAGCAACTGTTCTGTATGAGTTTATACATTCAACCAATTTTTTTGAAATATTATATAAAAACATTAACTATGTTCAAAATAAAGTATCATGTACTGCTGCCCATACCTTTAGTAGATTGAAAATTATCCATGTGAACTTTATTTAAAAACATTAGCAATGAGTCTGTTTCTATACAGCTGTCTGCAGCCTGTCTCTGAGAAGTGAAAGCTTTGATTGCTTTTGTCCTAGAAATTGTCTCTGTAATGTTCACTAAAAAGCAGTGTGAAGGGGAGGAGACGAGCCCTTTCTAAGTTTACTCTAATTTTAACAGACTATTACCTTATTTCATTAACCTCCAATATCTACCAACAGAAAAAGTCAAACACCTAAGTGTGGTGAGGAGAAATCAAACTGTAAACACTACCAAGGGAGGGGCTTGTAAGCTTGAAGCTCTTCTTGCTTCTCCAGCCCCTGGACTCCAGGCTAACAGTCTCAGACACAGCTAACATTTACAGAGGACTTATGTCCATAGCCATTTGCTTTTCATATAATTTCTGAAGTCAGTTAAAAAAAAGACATATGAGTGTTTTGCCTGCAGTTATATAAAAAGTTTTAAAAAATAAAGTCTTTAAAGAGACAATAAAGGTAATATAAAAATTAAGCCACGTAAAGATGGATATTACACAGAAAGTCTATTATATTGTGTTTGGAATTTTTCACTGCAGGAAGACATTTGATTGTAAAGGCTACGCAGCTAAACCAATGTGTATATTTTAAAGATATCTTGATTTCAAAATTTATGTCTATGGATATGTTGCTTTGGAAAAGAGATTCTGCTTTTGTTTCCACAGAAGACGAGAACCTGTGGATTGCTTCTAGGCTAATGTGGTTTGACCAGTCAAGACCCCCTACAAGGTCTCTGATGACACCATAGCCAGATGATACAACATCCAGAACTGTTTCAAGGCAACTAGCTCAGACAATGCAGCCAGACTACTCCAGTCAGGACTTGACTATAATTTTCTCAGGATCTCCATTAGATTACCAGCGCACTCATCCAGCAGGAAGCAGCATGAAAAACTACACCCAAATTCTCAAAATATTGTTTATAAATGTTTATTTCTATTTAAAACAGGTTGATTATAAAAGCATTATCTTTCTAAAAAAAGTGTAGATATGATAGGATAAAAGGGTGGATTGTTGAATATACTTTTAAAGAGCAATTTGTTTAAAATGTTTTACATTGGTATAGATTTTAGTTTATTAATAAAGTGAATTTTGTTATACTGTATGTATTATTTCTACTCTTGTTTAAGGTATTATGTTTGTGCAGCTCATTTGAAATTGTAATGTATAATTAAAAATGCAGATTATTAGTCATCTATGATAATCAAACTTATAATCATGTTAGTTAAGCTTTCTAGGTATACATAGATATATTTCAATTAGGTAGATAATCTTCAAACACTTCAAAGACTTACAAAATATGGTATTTAAAATGTTTTAACAACTTTGACTTTCTGGACATTGACACATGTCTGCTCCTGGTAGCACCAATCTACTTCAGAGAAGATAATTAACATTAAAGAAACTCATTATGGAGTTTGCTTCCTTTGTGGCAAAAGTTAGCCATTGGGCAAAAAGTGCCCTTGTGTCAACTGCTTGACAATATGTTGTATAAACTGGACTTACAGGACCCATAGGAAGGTGACCACTGAACTTTTGCAAGGCAAAATGGTCCTTCAGTTTCCTGCTTCGAAGAAGAAACTGCCAGACATTCTACAGGACACAGAGAGACTCTAGACCTATCGGCTAAAGATGGATACCCCAACAGTACAGAGGAACTTTTGATGACTATCCAGGTAGACAGCTGTCTCTGTCATTCTAGATTTTTGAAAGTTGCTTACCACGTTCTTCCTGTTTACGTAGGTAATATTATATCCTTCTAGGGTCTTCAATGTAGATGAAAACTAGATAGTTATATTCCTTGGCTATGATAAAAGATAAATTAGATATAAAACTTTAGACTCACAAATAGAGGATAAAATATTTTAATTTTGCCAAATATAAATAGACTAGATATTGTAACTGTTAATTCTTGTTTGATAGCTGTTATATAATATGTAATTTTACTATGTTAAAGTTAAACCCCTCCTTTTTGATTAGACAAAAAAGGGGAGATACCATGGGATATTCTGTATGCTGTGACTGTGTTGCTCTGATAAATAAAACACTGATTGGCCAGTAGCCAGGTAGGAAGGGATAAACAGACAAGAAAACTTCTGGAAAGAGGAAGGCTGAGGCAAAAGACACCAGCTCACCATCCAGGGAGCAGCATGTAATGGCATACAGGTAAAGCCACAGAAAATGTGGCGACATATATAGATTAACAAAATGGGCTGAGTTTAAGTATAGTAGCTAGTCAGTAGTGAGCCTGATCTAATGGCCAAGCAGTTTTAATTAATATAATTATTATTTATAATAATTTACATTATTTAATATATTAAATATTTATAATTTTAGTTATATATTTACATATAATTATTTATAATTATAATTAAATATTTATAATATTTAAAATTAATATAAATTAGTTAAGTTTTCTAGGTATACATAGATATATTTCAATTAGGTAGGTAATCTTCAAACATTTCAAAGACTTACAAAATATGGCATTTAAAATATGTGTTTACTTGGGTCTGAGTGGCTGTGGACTGGGCAGGACATAGGAAAACTTCAGCTACATATGAGTGTTTTGCCTGCATGTGTGTATCTATGTATAAATGTAGTACCAGTGGAAGCCAGAAGAGGACACTGGATCCCCTTGGAGTTATAGTTGGTTATTAGCTGTCACGTAGGTGCTGAGAATTGAAACTGGACCTCTGGAAGATAAGTCAGTGCTCCTAAGCCCTGAGCCATCTCTCCAGCCCAAGGTCAGTACTTTTATTTCCATGTTTTCAGATACAAATGGTGGCAGAGAGGGTATTTCATCTTGTTACCAGCTAGTGAATGGCCAAGGCTAGGTTCAAAACCATGCAGTTTAGCTCCTGGGTGGGGGTGGGGGTGGGGGAAGAGAAGGAGGTAGGAAGGGAAAGAGGGTGTGAGGAGACAGAGAGAAAAAGAGACACAGACAGATGTATACACACACACACAGAGACAGATAGGAGACAGAGATGAGAGACACATACACAAACACAGGGAGAGACAGAGATGAGACATACAGAGAGAAACAGAGGGGAGAGACAGATGAGACACACACACACACACACACACACACACACACACACACACACACACACACACACACACACAGTGCACCCGGTGAGCAGGAAATGAGTGTGCCTGACTCACACATCCCATATTGGCCTTGGATTCCCCAGGTAGCCAAGGATGACCTTAAACTGCAGTGCTGAGATTAGAGGCTTGGGCTGCCACAGCTGGGTTATGCAGTGCAGGGATTAAAACCAGGGCCTCATGTATGCAAGACAAGCAGTCTACCCAGTGTGTTATAAAACCAGTTGCAGAAGCTGTATCTTCTCAATCAGTAATCTTTGCTATTTGAGTGACCAACTAGAAAATGTTTACCAGGAAAACAATGTAAGAGTTATGCTTTTCAAATTCTGTTCTGTTCCCTGACAAACACTTAAAAACACTATTGTAATTCTACCTCCTGCTTTGAAAACCAGTTCCATTCTGTGCTGCTCACACCTGAGGGTGGGGAGTTACTGTCACACTGGGGCATTCTTTATTGTAACTTCTTTATTGTTTGCTGTATTAAACATACATTCTTACATAGACACTTTGCCATGAATAAAGCAATAAAAATAAGGCAATATCTCAAGATGTGCTTTGCATACAAACATCATCTTGTAAGGACAGGAAGTCTGGATCCCTGTACAACAAAAAGCATTGTATTCTCAACATACCCAAATGTGTGTGTAAAGACAGCACATACACAATACAGTTTACTGAGGTTCCTTTATAGCATAATTCCTTAATCATCCTTTTGTGAAATAAGAATGAATATTAAGGAATATGAAATCTGAACTGCACTTATTTTCACAATATCAACGTTAAACTCAGGAGAAACAACTTCATTGACTAAATTTTAATGTTTCAAAAGTGAAAGGCAACCTTAATTTTTTGTAACCCTCTAACAGGGTCTTGAAGAAAACAAGTAGATTTTCCTCTCTTGTGAACAAGTATAGCAAACCATTATCATTAAGAATGTCCATATATATATAGCTATTGTGGGAACCATGCTCTTTCTAACATAGCAAGCCTAAGAAACCACCAGAAGCACAAAGTTAACTCTACATATTTGTTAGAATTTTCAAGTCCTTGCTCCTAAGACAATTTCAGTACACCTAATAAGCACAGCAGGTCATTTAGAAAAACAGAAACAAAATATATACCCATTCTTTGCAATTCAAAAAATTTTAACATGAACAATATTCATATATAAAATTTATACTAATCTTTTTTCCTAAATACAGTTTATGCAATCAAGGTTTTCTTAAACAAGCCAAGCCTTAGGGGTATGATGTGTACAAACTATCAGTAGTGTATATTCCAAACTCATTCTTCCTATATTATGATATGACATAACTTTTCTGAATGAAGGTTTATGTTAAGGCTTAAGGTGTAAACACTTTAGAAGGTAACTTAGTGAAATTATTGTTCACTTAAAAATAAGTATCATTTCATAAACAGGCTCCTGAATGTTCAAACTTACATTTAAAATGCATTTACATCTTGCATTTCTAAAAAAGGCACGTTTTTATATAGAAAAGCAGCAAAATTTTAAACCCACCAATTTACTGAAAAAGCCATTACTTTTTATTAGAAACAATAATGCTTCTCAAGATGTTGGCAACAAGGCATAGTATAGCACACATTTTATACAGTATATTTCCCCCATTTAATTATATTCCAGAAGGGGGTGGGATGCCTCCTTGGCTGTGGGAAGCTGACGTATTTGATGGACTATGTAAGCTGGTCTCCTTGTATACAAACCAAGCATTTCCTCCCCAAAGTATCATATTCAGAAAGCCAAAGATCTATGAAAGAGGGAAACAAATATAAAAATCTAATATTTGCTTTAATATACATACAAAGCAGAATAAAAAACAAAGTCTATACATACAGTCCATTGAACAAATTTTGGGTGCATAATTATTATTATTATTTTTTATGGTTTTTTAAAACAGGGTTTCTCTGTGTAGCTTTGGGACCTTTCCTGGAACTCATCTGTAGCCCAGGCTGGCCTCGAACTCACAGAGATTCTCCTGCCTCTGCCTCCCTAGTGCTAGGATTAAAGGCGTGCCACCGCCGCCTGGCGCATAATGACTTATTATATTCAACATGCTAATACTCTAAATCTGTAACATAAAACAACAAAAATGAAAACTTTTTACTTCTGCACATAGGATTACATTTGAGAAAATAACTCCCTTTTATTACTCTGAATTTAGACTTTGGTATTCCAGGGTGAAAAGGCTCAGCAGGAAGCCGAGTCTGCATCTCTTAAGGTTTTCACTTTTCTTCCATTCTCTCTTCTGACTGCCCTCTGCTATTCCAACACCTGCAGCCAGAATTCTACTTCATACCCTGCACTCATCAGCACATAGGAGTTTTCTTCCCACATACACACAGGACTGATGAGCCTACCTACCTTATTTAACAAAGCCCTTCAGTAATCAGTGATGGTGACTTAGGAAGTTAAGAGTTGGGTAAGAAACTGAGGAACTATGTAACTAGAAAGCAAATGCTTTACAGTTTTTGTATAAGTACACACAAAATTTTTATGAAATTGTCCCAGTCACAGCACTACCTATCAATAAAAACTCTAAGTATTGATGTTTACATTACAGTTATTATCAAGAATGTGGGCAAACTGCTTTATAAAGCAGTTTTCATCTTATGGAAAAGCGTTTTCTGGAAAAAGCGTTCCAAAATAGAATATATACAATGTTACTGCCAATCAACTTCAATTTGATAAATTGATGAATATAATGAATCACATATGTTAAATTTTACAGATTTAAGAAACTCTTAAAAGTGTTCGTTTTATGTACTCCAAGTAAAGCAAACTTAAAAAAGAGAACAGGCACAAAGTCAGATCTGGTTCAAAAGTTGTATCTCCTCAGAGGACTGTAAAACATACATTTCTCAGCTGTACAACAAAGCTGACACACTGCTTCTCATATTCCTCTCAGAATGGCTGAGTAACTTAAGATACTATAGCACAATGGTTAGCACATCTTTTCAGTACAAGTTACCATTAATAGTGTCTTTTAGTCTTTAAATCTTGGTTACAGGTAATACTTCCTTAAGTAAGTAAGTAAGTAAGTAAATAAATAAAATTGTGTGTGTGTGTGTGTGTGTGTGTGTGTGTGTATCCCAATTAGAACCCAAGTAGCTTAGTAAAATAAGAATCAATTTACTCACAGAGATTATTGAAAGTTACTTTCTTAAATGCTGTTCTAGCAAATGAAAAAACTGTGCAAGCATCAGATACTTACCACGGATACATTTAGGGATCCCATACTAGTCACGGATCCAAAATGACATGACGCTTTTAACAGACAAGGATCAAGTTCCTTAATGATATTGTGTCCAGTAGCTATTTTAATATCTGTAAGAGCTTTAGCCCAGGCTGAGGAACTCACCAACCACAAAAAAGTGGCCACAAGAGTAATAATAAAGTCCTAGAGCAAAAATAAGCACCAGTTAGTAAGCAATGAATTTAAAAGCAGCACATTTTCTATAAGCAATAAAGAAATAAGGACTATGTTTAATCCCATGGTATCAAGAAATGGTCCTCACGATGTACTTTATATAAAAGGTCATTCAGTCTAATCACCATTGGTGTTTACTGTTTCTAACACCATGCCGAAGACACAGTAAGACTTAATCATCTCCTTAGAAGTTTACAATCTAAATCTTATTATTATTATTATTACTATTATTATTATTTTTGGTTTTTCGAGACAGGGTTTCCCTGTGTAGTTTTGGTGCCTGTCCTGGATCTCACTCTGTAGACCAGGCTGGCCTCGAACTCACAGAGATCCACCTAGCTCTGCCTCCCGAGTGCTGGGATTAAAGGCGTATGCCAACATCGCCCGGCAATCTTATTTATTTTTTAGGCAGGGTTTTGCAAGTCTTGAACTCAAATCTTTTTGTCTTCTTGCAAGAATGGCTGCGTGTCCCTTTTTTAAAAAAAGTTTCAACTTTGGTATGTATGTGTATGCCTACATTGTACACATGGAGAACAAGAAGTAGTTCAAGTGTCTTCTCTATTGTTTGAGACAGGGTCCCTCACCGAAGCTGAGGCTCACCATTTCAGACAGGCTGTCCAGCTAGCAAGCCCCCAAGACCTACCTATCATCTCTGCATGTAACACTGAAACTGAGACAAACTGTACATGTGCGCTAGAGATCTGACTAGGATCCTCTGGCTTTCCTAAGTGCTTCATCCCCTGAGCTGTCTCTCTAGCTCTGAAGTCCATTTTTTTACACAAAAAGGCAGCTTCCCAAGATGTCACCATAATCTTAGCCATGTATTCTGAGACTCATACTTCACCCTGTCGTCAACAACAAGTGCATTTCTCCATAATCTCTTTGTTCTGTTTTTCTTTTTGAGACACAGTCTTACAGTGTAGCATTGGCTGGCCTGGAACTGGATATGTAGACCAGGCTGGCCTTGAACTCACAGAGGTCCACCTGCCTCTGCTTCCTGAGAAATAAAGTGCTGGGGACCAGGTGTTTTTTTCATCCCAACTGCAAAAGTCTTTGATCCAGCTTAGACCTATAAACCAACCCTACCATTTTTTCTTTTTAACTGCCCCTCACTTCACTCGAGTCACTCATATTCTAAGTTATAATCCCTTGCACATACAATATAAACTCCCTATCCTCCTACTTGCTTCTATGTTCAGATAAAATTCTCAGTCTTGTTAAAAATAATTGTCCAGCCGGGCGGTGGTGGCGCACGCCTTTAATCCCAGCACTCGGGAGGCAGAGCCAGGCGGATCTCTGTGAATTTGAGGCCAGCCTGGGCTATAGAGTGAGTTCCAGGAAAGGCGCAAAGCTACTCAGAGAAACCCTGTCTCGAAAAAACCAAAAAAAAAAAAAAAAAAAAGATGGATTAATGAAGTGGTTAAAAAAGAGAGAGAGAAAAGAAGACAACACAACCAAGTCTTTTAAGTTTCATGACTGAATTTTAAGAATGTTCATTAGGGGCTGGAGAAATGGCTCAATGGTTAAGAACACCGGCCGTTCTTCCAGAGGACCCAGGTTCAACTCCCAGCACCCACATGGTGGTTTATAACTTCCTGTAATTCCAGTTTCTGAGGATCTGACACCCTCTTCTGGTCTCTGTGAGCCCTACATGCATGTGGTGCACAGACATATATGCAGACAAAATACCTATACATGTAAAAATTTTAAAAACCATATTTTCTAGCTATATAAAATTACATATAATACATATAATTATATATAATACGTAAGTGTGTATACACACACTATATATATATATATATATATATATATATATTACAGTTTAAATGAAAATTTGCTATCTAGGTCAACAATGTTCTCAAGATCCAAAAGCCATAGACTTGCTAACAGAAACCCTAACACCAGGCCTAAGAGTTGTCCAAGAGACGCCCCGCCCCCCAACATTATATGCTATTGCTGTTGCTTGCCCCATAGAGATGCAAGGTAAGTTCCTATTGCTGAAGGTACTGTGCATTTCTGAAACAGAACCCAGAGGACCTGAGCTAGATCCGAACCGAGTGTTTCCTCCCTGAGGACTAGCTTTCATGGTACCAGAAGGCACCATGCAAACTTCCAAGGGAGGGAAACAACCAATAGTTTTATTCAGCTATGATGGTTATGAATCACAATGACCAGCAGGGCATGCACACTGTGGCAGAAACCAACAGCTATTTAATTGGATGTTAGGCCTCCTCAACAAGAGGGAAATCATGCCTGGTACTGGAAGCCAAGCCAACTACCCAGAGCTAAGGAAATCATGGATCTTGAAGGAACCCTACAACTGCCACTTTATTAAATAAACCGGAATAATTTCTAACTACATTCTAAATATCTACCCCTAAACCCACAGATAAAGAAACTTTTCTTTACAACAGGCAGAGACCATCACAGAAAACCACAGTCAATACATCTATAATACAGCTCCTGCATCCAAGGCTCAGGGATCTTGCAGAAGAGGAGACAGAAAGTATGTAAGAGCCAGAGGACAGGAGATTTGCTGTGAGATCATGCCTCCTATAAATGTCAGAGAAACCACGCCCATGAAACCTCATCAACATGGCTGCCTAAAGACTTGAACAAGGATACCACCAGTAGACATGCTATTATGTAAGGAAGAGAGCTGAGGACGTCTCAAGCCTAGACAGAGAACTGCAGACAACTAAGGAATGCTCAGAGTAGGAGAACTAGTCTTTCCAATAAAGAGGCCCCTGATTGGTTATCCAATAGCAAGTGGTCAGTCCTGAAATCATCCATATACAAGTAGCATCATATGAACTGACCAAGTCCTATTCATATATTTAGGAAAAAAAATATAATAACAATCAAAGAAAAAGAGGCCATGAATTTGAGAGAGTAAGGGGGGATACATGGGAAGGGTTGGAGGTAGGAAAGAGAAGAGGGGAAATGATGTAATTATAATTTCAAAAAATAAAAAATTACTACAAAAATTTAAAAAACAATGTTCATTTTATTAACAAAAAGATGAAGCAGTATCTTTTGAACTTGAGTGGCTTTCTATTAAATTCTGTTAATTATTACATTCCCAAAAAATAAACATGAAGGTTTTAATGTTCTGAATATTTTCTTATAGAAGTAACAGAAAAAAAAAAAAGAAGAAAAATCTCCTTACCCAATCTTTCCTGTTGGAGAACTAAAAACTATCCACTGGACTAGTTACAAAGATACTGTGAGTATGAATCTGTGTAATGTGAAGTTTATTTTAAGTCTCACCTTATTTGGTCTTCCTGTGAATTCATGAACTAAATAGGAATGGCACTACGTTTATAGCTTTGGTGTTCCTCTAAGCACTACAAGGCATCAGCTAGTGTATGTTAACAGCAAAGCTAACCCAAAACCAGTTACTCCAAACCCAGAAATGAGTTCTAAGGCTTATCATGGAAGAATTATTTTTATTTATTTATTTTAATTCCTTTATTGATTTAATATGTATACAGTGTTCTGTCTGCATATCTGCCTGCACACCAGAAAAGGGCATCAGATCCCATTATAGATGGTCGTGAGCCACCATGTGGGTGCTGGGAATTGAACTCAGGACCTCTGGAAGAACAGTCAATGCTCTTTAACCTCTAAGCCATCTCTCCAGCTCTCATGGAAGAATTCTTAAAAAAAAAAAAAATTAATGAAATTACATTTTAATTATCTTGGACCAGAGAGATGGCTCAACAGATAAAGGTGCTTGTCAGCAAGGCTGACAGCCTGAGTTAGATCTAGGGACCCCACCAAGTGGAAGGAGAACAGACTCATACAAATTATCCTCTGACCTCCACAGTGCACCATTGCATGTGCACACACGTGTACTCACACACACACACACAAAATAAATGTTAAAAATTTTTAAAAGATTTTAATTATCTTACCAGCCACCTTTTAGTCATACAGTGAATAAATATTGTGCTTAAAGGACAAAACTAAGGGTTAATTACACAAGCACGGTATTTGCATTTGAGCTCTCTACTTCCTCTTGTCCATTTAAACTAAACCGTGTCCATCAGAGAAAAGAAATACTGTAGCTGACACTCTCTGCATTGTGGGGACACTCCCCTCTTGACTCCTGTCCTCTGCTCTACTTTTGCTGCAAATAGACATTTCCTAAAAACTTCTTGTCTTTAGAAACCTGATAAAATGCCACTAAAAAATTCCCTCAAGGCTAAAGTTAGAGCTTTGACCAAAATATGTCAAATATCTTAATTTTCAGTTATTTTCTCCCTTTTGAATTCTTGGCTAAAACATCAGTTTTTCTTCTGGTCTTGCTTAATTTTGTGTATGTGTATATAAATGCTGTGTGTAACATGTGTAGAGGCCAGAACTGAGTGTCAGGTGTATTCCACAGCTATTCTCTATTTTCTGAGACAGGGTTTTTCATTGGGCCTGGAGCTCACTCATTTGGCTAGACTGCCTGGTCAGTGAACTCTACACCCCTAGTTCTGGGGTTACATATTTACACTTCTATGTGAACTCAGATCCACCATGCCTGCATAGCAAGTACTTTATCAAGTGAGGCATCTTCCCAGCCCACTGGTTATACTCTTTAAATCTGATTTGCTGATAACTAGATTAACCTAACATCCACATATTTCAAAAGTAGGAACTTCCCTAAACATGGTACAGAAAATAAACGATGGTGGAAGAAAAGAGAGAGGTTACTGTGGTCCCTACAGAGTAGACTCAGCCTCCTAGACTCCAGTCATAGAGCAGTCTAAGTGAATCGTTCAGCCTCGAGGCCTGCAACCAGTGAGTTAAAATGATTGATCAAAGACTTTAGAATTTGGAAATCCTTTTTTTCTGTGTTTTACTCTTAATATTCCTGATTTGATGTTTAATTCCTGATTAAATCATCTGCTACTTAATACAAAAAGTACTATATTAAAAAAGAAAACTTAGACTCAAAAATCTGAAACTGAAATACT